TGGGCGTTTTTTTTTTTTTTTTAAGTTTTGTTTGCTTAACTTGGTACTAAGCTACTTGGGGGTTGTCGGGGTTCGGTGGGCTGGTCTGTTTCATTTTGTTGGGTGCTTTGCGTGCTGTGATGGTATATGGGGGGAAGAGAGGTGGGGGGAGAGGCAACTTGTCTGGCTAGCTGTGGGGAGCGGGGTGGGGTGTCTAGGAATTGACAGCCTTGTTAGAGATATTTTTTAAAACCTTTATTGTGACTTAGTTGGGAGTTTAAATACAGATCTGCAGATCAATTTTTGCATTCAATAACTTTTCAAAGCTCACAGTGGCTTGTCCTGTCCACCTCTTGTCCATCCCTCCCATCCATCCCCTTGTAGTACTTTATCTTCCATCAGGGGTATCTTTGAGGCAGGTGAGCTTTCTTGGGAGCTGGTCACGTCTTGAGAGAAATTTGAAGCTTTGGCTAGGAGAGAAGATGGGAGCAGCACCCCAGCATCAAAGGGAATATAAGTTGTGGAGTGTCCGTCCCAGGTTGGTTTGGTCGGCCCTACAGCCCCCTATTGTTTAGGGAAGGTAGCCGTCAGTGAGGGGACACGCTGTGTGCGGCCCCTCACTGGGTTGCTGGGAACTGAGGGGTGGGGGTGGCTTTGGAGAAATTCATGTAAAAAAGGAGTGGAAACTTTTTAGAAAGGGTGGGGAGTCAGTCAGCCAAAGTACCTCAGTGTGCCCCGTTGAAAGCTGGGTTTTTCCACACAATTGCATTGTATCTTAGGGTTCTACCCTGCCCCCACCTTTTTGGGAAGTGGTTCTCCTGTGAGAGGGTTAGGTTGGTTGGGAGTGGGGGGCATCCCTGGCAGGACTCTCCAGCCCTGCCATACCCAAATTCAAAGATTCTGCACCTTTAAACTTAGGGAGCCTTTAAACATAGCTGTAAGGTGGTAGGGAGGCGTGGACAGACATCAAAATTTTGAATCTGCTAGTTTGACAGATCTGTGCATATAGGAGTGCATATATGTATGTATATAGGGGGCTGAATTTCTCGTACATATATACATATCTAGTGCTTGTACTTAACACATTCAGGAGCTAAGGAAAAAACCTGTACAGTCAATTTTCTCTTATTTTTAATAAAATAGGATTGGGGGAGGCAGGGTTTGTTTTTGTGCAGGAAAGAAATTGCCGTCTTTGTAATTTGACAACTTTAAAATAAAATTCGAAAAGGAAAAAAACGTGTGTTTTCTCATTTTTAAGGCGGGAGTGGGGGTGCGGGCCGTAGGGGGCACGGGGGAGGGGGGCAATGGTGCCCAGACCGTGACTGTGAGTCACGGAAAACCTCCAGACTGACCTTTGGCTGAAGGCCTACTCCTAGGCTTAACCCTTTGGGGTTCCCAGTGCACCGCACCCCCTTTCCTTTCGCGTGGAAAGGTATAGACAGAGGAGGGGGTGGGCGCGAAGAGGGAGTCTCTCGTGGGGCAAGACCCTCTTTCCTTTCCTCCCGGGACAGAAGACGTCTCCAGGCTCAATGCACACGAACGCTTTCAGC